CTCTCGGCGGGCGGCCTCCGAGTCCAGCAACCGCTGCGCCGACTGCTCCTGCGCGGTTTTGTGGGTTCTCTCGACCTCGACAAGCTTGGTGTAGGTGGACAAGAGCTCTTTGAAGGCAGCGAGAAGGTACTGGCGTGCGAGGTCGGGTGTACCACCACTGGTCGCTGTCGTCGGCATCGAGGAGCTAGTGTGCATCGGAGGTCGAATCGAGCTGTGACGTACGGAGTACATAGCATCCTTTGGCAGGTCAATATGGCGATTGTTTGGTGCAAGCAGCCTGACAGGACAGTTGAAGCTCGGCTCGTCTATCGAGAGCACTGCCTACCGAAAGTGGCTTCTGTTGATTCGGGCGTCTTTGGCGTCTTTGGGTGTGGCTGTGAAGCTGAAAGGACAATGTCAACAAGTCTCCAAGCGCTTTTGGAGCCGAAACTGGGTATGCTTGCTGCACATACAACAAGAATACGAGCATACAGGCTTCCCCGTGTGCTTCCCCCATCGCAAAACCTACACCATTCGAGCTCCACTGCCCGTTCTCTTGGCCTTTCTGGCGCAACAATAGGAAGATAATACCCTGACGGAAATCAATTCACCGTTGAAATGTCTTTGAAAGAAGAGAGAGCTACTTCCAATGACGAGTGAGGATTGACGGCCTGGTGCTGGCGGTGCGAAGACTCGAAGGTTCCCCTTCCAATCGGTATGCAATCGTTGTAGTTTTGTGGGTATTTGCCTACGAAGAGGAACAGTATTGCTACCAGTAGCAGGATCACACTTTGGACAAGCGGTGCATGATTTTCCGGACATCCTTATCCGGATAAAATGTGTTTGGCGTCGTTGCTCGGCAGCGAGTAGACGAGGTTTGATGTTTTTATGGAGTCGTATGTTTTGTCCGATATCCATAGCCCACGACGTAGGGAGCCCAAAACCCAAAGAACGGGGCTCGTAGCGTGCCTACAGCCTGTGTTGTGCGTCGTTCAAGTTGGCAAAATTGATACTGAATCTAGTATCAGTGTATCAGTCGACCGCCACATTCCAATTACTAGTACGTGTAATTGGAGTGTGGTGGTTGACTACCGACCTCTACTAGATTGGGAAAGCGCCCCAGCTACTAGAGTATCTAACTTAGTAGCTGGACAGCGAGTCGCGGGCTAAAGTTGCCGGCAAGCTATTTTGCCAACACTGTAAATACGGCAAAACGCCCAATTATCGGATTTTCGCACGACATTTTACGGAATAAGACCTTGGTGGCGTTGCATCGATGACCGGCAGACTGGCGTACTGCAAGAAGCGGAAGGCGTGGCACGCGCTCACGCAGACCCGCATGGGCGGGGGGGAAGCGCAAAAGCCACTACTGCCCGTGGCGCAAGGACAAGGCAGTCGCAGAGCGCGACGCCATCACGTGCAAGCACACCGTCGGCCCGACCGGCGAAGATCGCCATGTTGCAGGCGGTCAATATGGACCTAACGGAGGCACCGACGACGCATGTTGGTGTCCAGTGAAACGCGATCGGGCGTTCAGTGCGTGCGCGTCGCGTTGCGGTCTCTAGCCTCTCGTACTCAAGGTCTGGGACAAAAATACCAAACAGGGACAGAATGGGGCTTGAAGTTGAAGCAGCGATGTCACCTCACAAACGGCCATCATCGTCCAGGATCCTATAGCAACCGTTGTTGACCTTGTCGTGTCTATCGGTCGTGAGTCTCGAATCTGTCGGGATCCATTTTTGTCCTGTGCTTTCGGACAAAATTTGGATTGCTGGGCTTGGAATGTACAACAATAGGTCACAGCTCTGGTGGTCGACTAGGGACGTGTCGACATTTCTCTCGCTGCATCAAGACCTAAACACCAACTATCCAAATCTATATCGTAGTATCTTCCATAATATACTAGTACGCGTAGACCATGCCGTCGACTGACTAGGGCTTGCGGGCGACGCTGGTTTGGAGGCTGTTGTTCTCACGAGTCTGAGCGACGTCCTGCCGCATTTCCGCGTTGGCAGGCGTGCGTCTGGTCGTTTTCCTGGGCCAGCGACTGGATCCGACTTGCTTGAGCTGCTGCTCCTGCTGGCAGACCTTGGGGCATCGCACAACAGGATGAGAGTGTCTGCATTGTATCAACTTGATACATTGAAAGAAACGCGAAGTCATATAACCCGAATATCTCTTGCATTCACAACAGACTCAATATAATACCTACATACGACGTCCTTCTTCATTCTTCTTCCTCTACTCTGCT